GATACTACGGGAGGTTTGGGTCAACACTAAGTGAACTGATTCCTACAACGGTGCCCGAGCGACTAAACCCAATCACACTTAAGAGTGGCTGACAAACGTGAGATCAGAGTGTACACTTAAAGAAGAGCTCCACACGAGTCCATCCAGCTGCTTTCTCCCTACTACAGATGTTCTTCATTGTATGCATGTTCCATTGGGGCTGCGACTGACCATCCCTCCTTACTCACCTAGAGGAGTTGTCCTAGCTGTGGTTTATGGTTCCATTGTCATCGGATGAAAAATTCGTGAGATAACAGCGAGATCAATTATAACCATGTTGACTAACGGTGATCAGTTTCTACGGTTCTATCCATTCTTTTTTATTTTTCTTAGGATAGTTCATCTCGAGTTCATTTTAGTCTTGTCTTACTTAAGGACAAGTAAGGTTTAAGCTTGGGGTGATTTGATAGTTTATTTTATTTACTTCTTTTTATAGTTTATTTTAGTTTATTTCATCCATAATTTAGATAATTTCCATGCATATTTTCCTTTTTGTTATTTTATGATTATTTCGGGTACTTTCGAATTTTGTGAGCATAATTGCAGGTTTTCGGGTCTAGCGGAGCGGGAGTGTCGGGACGCATGGAAAGTGATGGGAATTGGTGGACAACAAGGATTATGGGCTTGATGATTAATTGAAGGCTTGGTAGAAATAAACTTTAAATTTGCAAGATGCGGGAGAATATTCAAGCGTGCATAGATCATTAATCGGGCGAGTTCACGAGCTTTGGAGGATTTGGAGAAGTCAAATTTGGCTTAAAATGAAGAAAACTTGAAGAAAAATGGGCTAGGAGCTGATTGGACTCGAACTGGGCCAAGTGGGATAAGTTATGGAGGCCCAAACCTCAAAGAGGCCATATTCAGGAACCATCCGCGCAACCCACCCGCGCAACAGCACGCGGGTCGCGCAAGGCCCTGCAGGGGTAATTTCGGAAATTCATTTGGAAGGCTATTTGAGGAAGGTTGGTGCCCATCTTTTGGAAACTCTTGGACATCCGATTTTTGAGCATTCTCTCTAGAGTTTTGAAGATTTTTGAAGGCCAAGAACACCTCAAGAACATCATCTTTTCACCTTTTGATTCTTGTTTAATGTTTGGTATAATCTTCTCTAACTTTTGTTTTCTTGAGTTTAGCCATGCTTGGCTAGACAAATCTTGGTTGACTTTTGTTGAATCCTTTGAATTTTTGTTGAATGTTGAAGAATCCATGAACTTGTTCTTAAATCTTTATGGGAATGTTTTGTGTTTTAACATCTTATCACTACTTGTATGTTTTTTATTCATGAGTTTAAATATGTTTGTGGTGATTAGTTGGCTAATTTCTTGATTAAGTAAAGGATCCTCAAATTAGCAAGCAACAAATGATTTTTGTGTTGTTTTTGCTTCACACAATCATAAAAACATTTCCTCCAACATGGTAGTGAAAGCATTTGACTCCTCTTGGATTTGGTGACTTTTTGGTTCTTAATGCTAGTTGACTTTCACTAATTACATGCTTAATGGAAATTGTGACTTTGACTAAGGAAATTGTTATGAGCTTCTCTAACCATTTTAACAACTAAGAAAAGTCTAAGTAATCTCAAGCTTCTTGGATTACTATAGCCAAATTAAGGATTTAAATCAAGTATTGCACCATTGGATTCTAATGATGTGTTCATCAAAAGTCAAAGTGAGGAAACCTTAAGTCAACCATCATTCCCTTATTGATTTTACATCAAACTCTTATTTTTGTTGAAATTGTCTATTTAAATCTTAGTTTAATTCTAGTTTATTTCAAGTATTTCAAAATACCAAACCCTCCGTTTTTAATTTATTGTCATTTTACAAGTATTTTTACAAAGAGATTTTTCATAGAGTTATAAAATTGAACCAATCTCCGTGGATTCGATCCCTTTACCACTATACACTATTTTAGTGTGTAATATTTAGGGTTATTAATTTTGTTGGCCTCGACAACCACCAATATATGTAGCCTTTAATAAAATTGAAGTAGACATCTAACCTTTATGTTCATATCATTCGGGTCCATATCTTTGTTGCTGTAGTGACGTATCATCACCCCCATTTTTGCAAGATCTTCCTGTAAATCATCCACATAATGGAAGAATATATGTGTCAAACAAGGAACTACTGGAATACGATATGAATTTATTTATTTATTTGGTTGGAACTGGAAGGAAATAAAATGGAATTCAATAATAAAAATTAGATATAGTTTACTAATATTCAGATACACTTAAATCATAAACATATTTAATGAGGGTATTTTGGTCTTCTTTTAATGGAAATTGAATCCCTTCCAACAGTTACAGACCTGAATATTCCGTCCATGGAATGGAATCTCAATTTCTAATTCCACCAGAATCCACAAACGAAACATTTGGTTGGATGGAATTGGTAATCAAATAAGCAAGGTAATGAAATAGTACGATCATGTTATTAGATAGAATAAAATCAATTTTCATAATGAATCTTTTATATCATATGTATAGTTTGTCTTCATGTTGCTAACAAACCCAAATTATTATGTAAAAAGGTAACCAACTTAGGGTTTATGTGTTTTCACCTGCTATCATTTACATATTTACACTTTTGGCCCAAGTTTTAAACTTTGTTATAAACTTGGTCCCAACTTTTTAAACACTTTTTGCACAAACTTTTTATAGACTTTAACTTTTTTTAAACCATTTTTTACAACATATTTAAACTTTTTTACATCATTTTAACCTATTTTTACAGCATATGAAGGTTGAAAAAAAACATAAGAAAAGGTTTAAAAAATTTGAAATATAAGTAAAAAAGTTTAAAAAGGATGATTTCTTTTTAGAGGTTTTCAAAAAAGGTTTAAAAAGTCTTTTACATCCCACTTTTTAAACCTTTTTACATATCAAACCTTTTAAACTTATTTACTTATTTTTTTCAACATTCCTAGGTTGTAAATTTTTTTTTTAAGGTTAGTAAAAAGTTTTAAAAAAAATGTTGTAAACTAAGTTTAAAAAGAGTTGAAAATGTTTAAAAAGGTTGCATATTAATGAGCTTTTATTCGATGTAATTTTTTAGTAGTTATAATTAATTAATACATAAGGCAGAGATAAAACCACATATCGTATTTACATATAATATAACAAATTCAGTCCCAAAGACAATCATGCAGCATGCATAGGAGCAGAGTGCTTTTCATATCGTGCATGTGTGCAAAAGACGTAAACGCCCTCATCATCATCATATAAAAAAAATAACCCTAAACTCCTGTTTTGTCCCACATAACAAACAAACACAACAGCCATATAACATGGGTTTGAAGAAAATACAAGAGAGAGAGAGAGAGGGAGATGCCTTTAGGTTCTTAGCATCTCTTCCAACAGTGACCTCACAAAGTATAAAATTGGAATGGCTTGGATACAGATTTAGAAACGGGACTTGTTTTAAAAGCGCATAAAGCCTCTCTCTTTCTTCTACCAGGGCCACTTTTACTTTCTGCCAATCAATCAATCAATAATCTCAAGTCAACACAATAGTTACATCCATTTTCAATTGCTCCTAAACTTTTTTCTTATCAAGGCCAATACTGAATGTACTTTGAACAGTGACTGTAAGTAATGGTCTCAAATAATTACCTCCAAATAAGTGGGATTCTGCAATGTTGCACAAGCAGAGAGTTCAGCAGCAACAGAGACATTATAAGGTTGCTTTGCCCTCCATAGGTACTCAATCATGCTCAAAGGAAATGCTCAATACCCCACCCGTAGTCCTGCTAACCCTGTTTCCAATTCCATCCAAAACCACAAACATCTCCATCACTACTCACTATCACTATCACTATCACTATCAATTCAATGGGATAAACAACACTCACTACCTTCTATTATCATACCTACCTTACCTTCTTTTATTCCATTTAAACCTTATTAAACAAAAAAAATGATTTGCTACTACTCACTCTTATAATAATAATAATAATAATAATAATAATAATAATAACCAAACACACAAACTATACTATTCCTTTCAAAACCACACCACATACTGATGATACCAAAACCAATCATTTGGTTTGGATTTTGGTGGTGTTACGAGTTTATAGCTCAAATGTGTAGTAATTTCAAAATATCATGAAACTACATGAAACTGTTCTTCAGTGGTTAAACAACAATTTACTTGATGCTGAAGAATGTCAACAATAATAATGTGATAAGAAACAGAAATTAAGGTTTAATGAAATCAAATTTAGGAGAGAAGACGATAATCTTAATGATGAACTACCAAAAAAACCCTAATTTCTCATAAGCACAAGGTTGGAGCCAAAACAAGATGCATCAAAATATCAAAAGTCTAGACAACAAAGACATAATATAGAGATGTTAATCAAAATGACCTGCTGCATACTTTTATGCTATTCACTACTTTTTAGACCTGTAGCTACTCTTGGTTATTGCTTTCCAAAACTTTCTTATTTCCGCCAACTGGATCCATCAACTCCAAACCTCTGCCAACCTCTGCCTTCATTCTACAGTTCCCATGCCTGAGACATTTGTCCATCATATATATAGAGATGTTAATCAAAATGATGAAGAAACTCAAATAACTTACAAGCCCTAGAAGGTAAGGTTGAGTGGGTGTTCCACATCATTCATCTTGCTGCTTACAATTTCAAGCAACAAAACACCAAAACCAAACACATCCGTCTTTGTTGAAACAGAGCCTTCTAACATATACTCTGGGGGCATATAACCACTATATATCAATATATCCAATCAAGACCCGAGAGTTATTATTGGTTAGGGACTCATATTGACAAAAGATAAGTTATGGACTCACCGTGTTCCAACAACTCGACTTGTATTTGCTTCAGACTCATCCATCCCAAATAACTTAAAACCTGATATTTTTGGCTTCAGGTAGTCATCTAGCAAGATGTTACTTGCTTTCAGATCACTATGGATAATCTTCAGCCTTGAAAACCTATGGAGATATAGGAATCCCTGAGCCATTAAATGCCATCAAGATTACAAATCGTGTATTCCAATCAAGTAATCCTTTCTTCCTAGAATCTGTTCAAAATTAAATGAGAAAGATAGCCAGACAAGATGAAGTAAATGTTGATTAGAACTTACCAAATAGAAAGGAGTCCAAACTTTTATTATGAGTCCATATTTCAGCATTGACTACATTACATCCAAGATTTGTGAGAACTGCAGATACTTCTGATAATAGTCCAGGTATGTCTATTCTAGCTAGTTCTATTACTGTGTAATCTTCAGAAGGCTTTAATCCAACTGAACCAGTTAATGAAGGGACATAAAAAGCATCACTTTCAAGCACCTGTAATGAAAGAAACATTACATAGTGAGCTTTAATTCCAAGATAGGCTTTAGAAGGGGTAGAAGTAGAAAAGATGTGTACCTTTTTTGCAAGCAAGACAAGCGCCGCCGCCGCGTCGGACCTGTGATCTAGGCTTCTGGTGTACAAAATCGCGATTTGCTCCCAAATTAAACACAAAATAGGTTCATTAGCAGCGATCGGAAAGAGATGAGCCGAGGTCAGAGGTGAGTTGAGGTAGATTCGGTAGTGGTGGAGGCGGATTAGGGTTTACAGAGAAAAGGAGAAGGAGAGAGTGAAGGTTGTCGGCTGGTGGTGTGCTTGCCTTGATCGACGTCGACGACCGGGAATGGCAAGTAACGATGGTCGAAGTGCGAGGGAAGAAGTAGGCGGCAGTTAATGTCCAATGTCGGGAGGCAAGAGGAAAAGGAAGAAAAAGGGAGGCGGGCTTTTTAATTTTTTAGGATTTCATTTCCCCCGCTATTAAAGGATGGAACGCGCGTTTCCATTAAAATTTATAAAGCGACATCTTTAGACGACACACATTTTATTATAGGCGCCCTCCGTGTTTTTTTTTGTTTAGACACTAATTTAAGGGCACGCAAAAATAAGCGTCCTAAATCCTTAAAATTTATAGAGAGATGACATTACTTTTAGGTCACACACTTTTGCGTATCATAAATTGCGCGTCGTAAAAGGTTGTTTTTCTAGTAGTGATCAAAACCAATCCCCCGCAATGGCGCCAAAATTTGGTGGTTGTCGAGGCCAACAAAATTAATAACCCTATGTCTTTTACACTAAAATAGTGTATAGTGGTAAAGGGATCGAATCCACGGAGATTGGCTCAATTTAATAACTCTATGAAAAATCTCTTTGTAAAGATACTTTAAAATGACAATAAATTAAAAATGGGGGGTTTAGTGTTTTGAAATACTTGAAACAAACTATAATTAAACTAATATTTAAATAGACAATTTCAACAAAAACAAGAGTTTGATGTAAAATCAATAAGAGAAAGATGGTTGACTTTAGGTTTCCTCACTTTGACTTTTTGATGAACATATCATGAGAATCCAATGGCACAATACTTGTTTTAAACCCTTAATTTGGCTATAGTAATCCAAGGAGCTTGATATTACCTAGACTTTCCTTAGTTGTTGAAATTGTTAGAGAAACTCATAACAATTTCCTTAGTCAAAGTCACTAATTCCAATAAGCATGTAATTAGTGAAAGTCAACTAGCATTAAGAACCAAAAAGTCACCAAATCCAAGAGGAGTCAAAAGCTTCCACTACCATGTTGGATAAAATGTTTTTATGATTGTGTGAAGTAAAACCAACACAAGAATCACTTGTTGCTTGCTAATTTGAAGATCCTTGACTTAATCAAGAAATTAGCCAACGAATCACCACCAACACATTTAAACTCATGAATAAAAACATACAAGCAATGATAGGATGTTAAAACACAAAACATTTTCATAAAGATTCAAACACAAATTCATGGATTCTTCAATATTCAACAAAAGTTCAAAGGATTCAACAAAAGTCAACCAATATTTGTTTAGCCAATCATGGCTAAACTCAAAGAAACAAAGTTAGTGAAGATTGTACCCAACATTTAACAAGAATCAAGAGGAGAAAATGATGAAATTCTTGAGGGTTCTTGGCCTTCAAAGTGCTCCAAAACTCCAGAGAGAATGAGTCAAAATCGGATGTTAAAGATAAGGCTAAAGAGGCACACCAACCTTCCCAATATAGAGCTCTAAACAAAATCCCGAAATTGCCCCTTCAGGAATCCACGCGGGCCGCGTGGAAACCTTATGTGGGCCGCATGAGTGTGATGGGTTTTTGGGCTTCTTCAAGTCTTGGGCCCCCACAGCTAGTCCAATGGCCCATTTCGAGTCTAATCAGCTTCTAACCCATTTTTCTTCAAGATTTCTTCAATTTGAGCCCAATTTGCCTCTCCAAATCACTCATAGCTTCCGCAAACTACCGATCATCGATCTCCGCACACTCAAAAATTCTCCCGCGCCTTGCAAATTTAAAGTTCAAATCTTCCAAGCCTTCAAGAAATTGACAAGCCCACTCCATGAATCACCTCCATAACCATCAAACTCGAAATCCTCATTGCCCTTCAAGTTCAATCACCTCCAAAAGATTCCTCTCCGCTAGTCTCCAAAAAATTTGCAATTATGCTCAGAAAACTAGAAAGTACCCGAAATGGTCATAAAATAACAAAAAGGAAAATATGTATGGAAATTAACTAAAATGCGAATGAAATGTGCTAAAACAAACTATGAAAAGAAGTAAATAAAATGAAGCTATCAGATCCTGAACTCCATCAAATGTCGGGGGCTTCGTATTGTCGAAGTCCCGATACTGAAAGGCTCTCCCAGCACCGATCCCGACATCAGCAACGACCGCGGTGGTTACAGTAGCAGCAGCCTCGGACAGTGCAGTGTAACACTCGTCAAAATATTCCACCATAACGGTCTTACTATACCTAAACATCTCTGGTAAATGCGCCCAAAAGAGGGAAACAACCTCCTCCTGCATGATCTCCCTAACTCGCTCCTCAGTCAAAGATGGACTATCCTGGCCACCAGCTCCCGATCCGAATCCGGATCCCATATCAAATCGTCTCGTCGTCACCATACTGAAAATAAACCAGGGAGATGTCAGATAAAACGTATATCGTGCCAGAGGAACCAACTCCCAACAAAGGCCTGGGGGTTGTGACTTCCCTGCTATGCGTACGGGTCATGTGCTTCTAGTAGTACGGGCCCATACTACCTTCCACACCAACTCGTATTTGTCTCAAAGGATCATCACAATGACCCTAACCATACATACTAGCATACACATACACTCTATCCTCACTTCCTAGAGGAAGGCTAAACATCACGCGACTGGTTGGCAGACCCCACACAAACCATCTATGAAACTTCCACCAACACTGCAACACTCGTGTATGCTAATCATACATAACACTGGATCATATAGATTTAAACCAAGGCTCTGATACCAACTTGTAACGTCATAAAAATCACAATAAATTTAAACTTTTAATTCAACCCAAATCCACAAAATGTTTACAAAATAGTTTTCAAAACATATTCCAACATCAGAGTCTCCCAAAATCATAAGTCACAACAAGAGGATGTGTACGGTCACGCCTTCACCTTCCCGCGGTCATCCGAAGTACCTGAAACATAACCCAAAACTGTAAGCCAACGCTTAGTGAGTTCCCCCAAAGTACTACCACATAAACATAATAACAAACAACATGCATACAGAGACTTCAGCCTGTCTGGAACGCCACTCCGGCCTACAGACTATCTGGAACGCTCACAAAACCTTCAGCATGACTGGTACGCCTCACCGGGCCTTCAGCCTATCTGGAACGTTCTCTGGGCCTTCAGCCTGACTGGTACGCCTCTCAGGCTTGCAGTCTATCCGGGACGCCCTGAGTCTCTTGGCCTTCAGTCTATACTGGTCCGCCTCAACCCAACCACACACAACATGTCGACATATACATAACATATAAACATACATATAACCAGACAACAGACAATCAGACAGATCTTACAGATCACTAAGCATAACATCATCCTATATACCAGGATACCGATCTAACATATCACTACAACACGATAACATACTATCACATAACAGGATATCTAATCCAATGGGTCGGGCTTGGTGCATTCGACCCGTAAGTATATTGAGAAAAACTTACCTTACAAACTGAACAAAAGCTGATGAGGTATCGACTCCGAATCTCAGCTCTAATCGACACCTATTCCAACCAAATGCCCATTCTCAATCCAAATCCCAAAATTCCCAAAATACCCTTAGGGTCAAACTTAGTCAAATGATCAACAAGGTCGAGAAAAGTCAACTCAGTTGACCGCCACGTCGTGGTACCCTTGTACCACATCATGGTGTCGAATATGACAAAACAGTCGCGAACCGCCCCGCCACCACGTCGTGGTAACAGGGTTTTCAACAGCTTAATGCATTCAACCACTTTCTTCGATTCCAAAGGGTCTCCAACTCAGATCTAGTCCAAAATAGGGTCTAGATGGATAAAGTTTCCAACTTTATCCAATAGAACCCTCCAAAATGTATAGATCTCAACTTTAAGATCCAAAACACTTCATGGCTTAAGCAATAATCATCCAATCCATAAGGTTACTTGACCAAAAGCTTCAAAAGAGTCTCTAACACCAAACACACCATAAAAATCGGTGCTTTTCAGACATGCATGTCTAATGCACGTCTTAAACTCTTATTAGGTCAAAATAGGGCAAAAATGCCAAGATTCCATGCATGGTCTCAAAACTCAATTCTAGACTAGATCCAAAGAGCCAAATGCTCTAAATGGCATGGAGACTCATAAAGTTGCAAGTTTTATGAAGTTCAACCACCCATTGCAAAAAGACATAGAGAAAAAGGGGCAAAATCCATAGATCTATCCATTAACTCAATAAGATGAGGACTTTATACCTCCTTGAGATGCTAGATGAAGGTAAACTCCTGGATCTTCTTTGTTTTGGACTCCCAATGAGATCTTTCACCACCTTCTTCCTTCACAAGCACCAAATACCCACACTTTAAGGCTAAAAACTCACACAAGGGCTCTAGGGTTTGCAAGGGATGATTTGGAGAGATGGAGGCTCATGGGAGGGATGCTAGGAGGGGTTAAAGATCTTTAAATAAGGCTCAACCCTTAAACTGTAGAGTTTTTCCCAACAGCTACCACCACGTCGTGGCACAATCACCACGTCGGGGTGGTTTATTAAACCCCTGCGGCCCAAAACTCATCGCCACGTCGTGGTGAGGCTTCACCACGTCGTGGCCTTCAAAGAAAAATACCATACATAATCGAAAATAATTTCATACTTGGAACCGAGTGTTACATCATTGTTCCTAATCTATTGCAGACTCATATTGTTCAATATGATCTCCCAAATCGATAAATACATATGGTGACCAATTGTTGAATCCATTGTGAATGATATCTAAATTGATTTAATCAAAAATTGTTTGTTTTTTTCTTAATATCAATGTTTTTATATTATTGTTTTCACCCTCTTCCCTCGGATCTTTCTTGGATAATGACCTCTAGATCACTGTGATCTTGACCCATAACCCTCCTCACCCAACTCAATCACCAAGAAATCTTGCTTGTTGCTAATGAGACTCATTTGGTGATATTGATGTAAAGAACTTGTGTGATATAAACTCTCAACCTATTAGTTGGGTGAAAACTATCGTCGACACCACTAAACATAGGTCCAGTACACTTGTTACATACAACCTTCCATTTTCTCTTTATCATCTTTGATAATAATGTTAAATAGATAAGGAATATCCCTAGCTAATCACAATTCACAATCCAATAAGCATCCTTATCTCATTAGAATAAACACAATAACACATTATAAAAACGCCAAAGCTCAAAAAAGCAAGGGCAAGAACGTCTTTTCAGAATCCTTACCCTGGGTCCTCACTAACTCAGCCCCGGTCGTGTACAGTCTTCAATAACTATAGTTTAATAACTCTCAACTCAAGTCACAGCCTGTCACGTTATCTCCGTCACAAACCATCATTGGACATCCGCGTATACTCATCGTTGGATCCTGGTCGATACGTGATTTAACCAACATCCATCCGCCGTTGCTTTATCATCAACTACACAAATTAGAAGAGGGGAAAATGTATTATTGAGAGAGAGGGAGCTTGGGTGTGTGTTCGGAGGCAAAAGGAACGGTTTGGTCACTTCAGTTTTCCGAAATTCTCCTTCCCCATTTTAGAGAGAGAAAGTGTGAGAAGAAGAGAGAGAAAATAAAATCCCAATCTGTGAATGAAGCGATTTGGTGTTGTTCATGATGATGAGAACGATGATGCTCGTTAATGGATGAATGAATCTGAAACAGGCACCGTCTTTGTTTTTGTTTTTGTTTTCATTTTTGTTTGTTGATGGAATTAACTGAGGATTTCGAGGTTGCGATCTTGGAGAAATAATAATTGGACGAACGATCGGATGATGCTGTTGTTGATTTGATTTTACTTTGGATTCAGTTGATTGATTTATCGTTTAATTAATCTGAAAAGAAAAAGAAGAGGAGAAGAAGAAGAGATGAACGGTGGCGATGGAGGAGATGTTGCGGCAGCTCCCGAGGGTCCACCACCTCCGCTTGACTGGAAATTCTCTCAGGTATTTGGTGAACGCACCGCCGGTGAAGAAGTTCAGGAAGGTAAACTAGCTTCAATGGAGATTATTCATTTGAATTCTATTTATTATATTTCTATCTATCTATCTATCTTTCCCGCATGTGGATCCACAGATTTGTATTTGATTAGGGCTTGAATGAAATATGTCTTTGATTTTGTTCGTGGATCGGCATATTATTGAATCGTCGGAGATTCTGGAAACCATTAAACTAGGTTTCTGTAGACGTAGGTACTTGATATTGTTGTTGGACCAAAGCATTAGAAATAATAAATTTGCACTCGTACTTTGATCAAGTACTGTCATTCAATTTTTCCATTCAATTGCATCGTCCTGGGGGGAGTAAGTATATGGAAGGCTTAAGCATTTCTTATTTGATTCCATGCGTTTCAAGGCATTATTCATGTTTCTCATTATTGGAAAACTATTAGCTTTTGCTTGCATATGATTTCATAGGTGTAGATATACAAATAGGAGTCGGTAGTTTATAATATATGATAATGCACACTGTACTTTTGAAGAAAATAAGAACATAACACAAGTTTGAATGTGAAGTTATCAACTTACTATGGGACAAGAGTTTCAGATTACCAAATAGGCAAAAAAGCAAGAGCTGAATCCTGTCTACTAAGGTTCAACGATCAGAGCACCTTTGGCAGAAAAATGGGAAACAAACTAAGGAAAATAATGGCTAGAAAATTAGAAGCAATCTACAAGAGAAGATAGATTTGAATGAGTCAGTACTTCTAGCGTGTGGAAATTTAGTAACAGTTGGAAACTTGTTATCCAATTACATGCTTGCTGGATTCTTCACCAATGAATTTGTGGGGTTCCACGCTCTTTTTGTCATTGCTACTTAACGTTTATTTCCAATTCATAGAGCATAAACC